GTCTATTAATCTGAGTAATCTACAGTGAATTCTGAACTGAAGTCATTATTTAATCTACGGAGGTAGACTGTCCATGTCTAGTGATATCTTGTTCAGTTCTTACTTTTAGTACAGCTCAGTTATTGATCGCCCGGACAATAGCTAATTTGATTAAAGCGGTGGCGTGTTAATTTGGACAGTTTACCCGCTTAAATTAAATAAAGGTTTCAGTTCTATAGGTTACCCAGGTCGATATACACCGGATGAAACCTGATCGAAATCAAAATAAAGATGAGGACAATAGTCCGAACATAAATAGTGCTGCAACAAATGAATCTTTATAAATTTCACATTTTTCTATATTTCGCTATATTACAAATTTTTTGGAAGCATCATAATCATGTTCCATTTTTTTCAACATTCCATTTAAAAAAAAAAAAACTTTTGATGAGCCTCGACAGCCTCAAAAGGTGTTAAGTTTTTCCTATTGGTTCCCTATTTAATTATTATGTCGAATTTCTTGCATGTGTTCAAATCAAATGATTTAATCCGTCTATGTTTTAAAGGACGCCGAAATAAGACTATATCGAGTGTGATTCGTTAACTCTTCGTCACCGAGTCCTGTTGGAACAGTTGATATGACATTTGCTTCATAACCTAACTGTCCGGGTTTCAATTCTTGATAGTGGATACGCGCTGCTGCTGAGTCCCAAATTCTGCTGAAGTTTTTTCCAGACTGGATGAATTATAAAATATATATACATATGTACGGGTGTGCACTCATCAGCATGACTGATATCAATTCTTTTCTTAATAAAAACCAAAATTAAATGACGTCTTTATAAATAGACGTCCAATGTGTCGACCACTAAAGGTCAAACGTTAACATCGTACAACGTCTGTTTTTTTATAAATACGATTTGCATATCAGACACAATATTTTGCCCCTACCCTTCACATTGTTCACAGATTTTAGCTTAGACAATTCCAATAGCGAAGTATAGATCGACCCGAAATATTTCGCCTACAATCATGTTGATATAAACTAGATGTATACACGTGTATAGACGATAAATCTGGCTTGGAGCCATATTCTCTGACGGTTGAATTCTCAAGAGTTTGGTACCAAATGGCAATTGTGGGTTTAGTTTGTAACTTCAGTGGCGGAGTGTTGGGTCCGGATGAGGTGGAGAAGTAAAGAAAAGACGAACAAGATGAGGAATATGATAGTAAAGGCTCTGAGAGTCTCCGGAGGCTTTAGATGATGGAAATGGTTCTGCTGTTAAGGGTCAGGTGGAAGTAAGGGGACGCCTGGCGTAGACGTTTCCGGTCGGAAAACGGACGAGAAGTTTTCCTTTTTCCTTCCAAAATGCTCATTATTCTTCTCGCAATTTCTGTTCTGAATTTAGCATTGGCATTTAAAGGCCTATAAAATCAAAGGTAAAATAATAAAATTCTCTACTTCTCTCTCCCTTTCTCTCTCTTTCACACGCACAGACACACACACACAGAGGCATACGCATACCTATATATATATATATATATATATATATAGAGAGAGAGAGAGAGAGAGATACAAGGTGGTGCTGAAATTTTATAAATAAGTCTCTCGTACCAAAAACAGTATTTTAATGATAAAACATCAGAAAACATGTATATATATATATATATATATATATATATATATATATATATATATATATATATATATATATATGTCTTGATGAAACAAAGTTTTATTGTCAAAATATTTGTTATTATTAAGAGGAAAAACCAAAGTATTTTTGGATTATTTTATCAAATTTTTCCGTCCTTTTAGAATTTTCATCAAAATATCTTGTTTCTCTTTGCGTCAGCGGAACTTCTAAAATAACATAGGAAAATTACATAGGAAAACTACTAAAATAACAGGAGAATTTACCGAATTTTCTTGCAGTGATAGACATTAATTTGGAAAATCTTGCAAAAATAAAACAAATGTCAGACTTTAATGAATCTAACAGACACTATTCACAAATTGTTGAAATTATCTTAAATATGTTTATGAAAACTCTAGAAATTCAACGCTGAGCATTTTAGTGATTATATTGTTTAAAAGGATAAGTCTTTGAAGAATTTAAATCAAGTTTTTTTTTTTTAAATTCAGCTCTGAATCGTAACGTACAAAACCCAATAAAACAGACATTGTTTAATTTTAAAAGCTTTTAGTTGTCTAAAATCTAAAATTGGCAAAAGATTTTTCGATAAAAAAATCAATTTTCACAACAGTTGTTACGTATTTATTGTTTTTGTTTCACAATATTACGTTAAAGTTGTTAATTATTTTAAAATTAATTATCAATTAAAGGCAATGATGTTATTAATTAGATCTATCTATACAGATCGTAAATATTAAAACTTTTTACAATATGCAAACCAGCAATATTTAAAATAGCATTTTACATTGTCTTTTTGTGTCCATAAAAACTGTTTTATTTCACATGACCGTAGGAAGCATAATAAAAAGAAAATTTAAGTTTGATATGTTGTGAATAATATCATATTTGAGCACACACAGACACAGACCGGCACATATACAGGAGCAGACAGATATATATATATATATATATATATATATATATATATATATATATATATATAGAGAGAGAGAGAGAGAGAGAGATAGATAGATAGATAGATAGATAGATAATATTAGTGGTCAATATTCATATATGTATATAAATTTTCAAAAGGATAGAATCCAGGTGAAACTCAATGTCCAGGACAGAGTAAGAATATGATATAAAAGGCTCAAACACTAATATTCCATGGTTATAATTTATTACAATGGAATCATAATCCCGATCCAATTCATCAGACCTACAAATTCAAAAATTTGAATTTGTAGGTCTGATGAACCATAGCAATTTAAGTAAATTGGTCACCGGCTGGGTGCTAAAACTACTGGTTCTTTAAAACGCCTGACTTTACGATAGATAACACGCTTTATGGCATTAACAAGAAAACCATCTCCGTTTAAAATGCTTGGTGAACAAGTCATTGAAGCACGATGGACAAAGCAGACAAATCTTTCTGGTCTTAGGAACGAAATAATCCCAATTTGTATATAAACCTGTGAACGTAGGTTTTCGAAAAATACTGGTAACAAAAGCACCATCTTTACTTTCTACGAGAACTTCTAAAAAGGGCAAACGTAACATTGCTCTTAACATCCATAGGAAATTGAAGAGACAGATGAAATGAATTGAGTTCTGCAAAAAAGGCGTCACTGGCAGAGTCAAATATTATGCAAGCCCAGACAGATGGAGTTGCAATGGGTATTCCTTTGGGTCCCATAATTGTTAATATTTTCATAGGATTTCGTGTGGGTCTTTTGTTTGAAAAGTTCCGTAAGCACTGCGTTATGTTGACGATGCCTTTTCCATTTTTGATTCTGCTAGTGAGGCCAAGGCGTTTTTTTGAAGAACTCAATTCTCTCCATCCAACTCATCAATTCACTATTTCTTCAATTCACTATTTTTTCTGTTCTATACTCTTTTTGGGACGCATTATTATTTGCTTTTAATCGTCAATTTGTTTCCAATTAAAATCTATTTTAATCGTCTTCCAATTTTCCCAGTTCATTCGTTATTTCTACAATTGTGTCTACATTATTTTGTTCTATTTGCCAACGTCCACCTTTTGATAAAGTGTTGTCCGAAAGAGTTTACTTCAAGGAAAATGACATCTTCTTTACACACACACACACACACACACACACACACACACACACACACACACATATATATATATATATATATATATATATATATATATATATATATATTCTTAAATGCCTATAATTGGTAAAAGAAGGCATTGGTTTATACCAACGGCTTCACATACTTAATACTTCTTGTTTTCACTCTCGCATGATCATGTATGACGTCATGAGCTGCGGTGCGATTTTCGCTTCCAGTGTCTCGTATACACGATTTGTCGTTGCTTGGAAATCTCCCATATAAACAGAAACAGACTATCATCATTGTTTTGTCCGTGTTTTACTTAATATATATTGTAATGTAATTGTTATCTTTGATAATGGCTTATGTAAGCCGAAAGCTTAGGTAGGATTAAAAAATATGTACCAATATTGTGATTTTCTTTCTTCGTTTAATGATAATGTTAGTAAGCTTATCAGACGATATGAAATGAATTTACATAAAAGAAATAGACAACACTTGTCTATATTATTTAATGAAACATGCATCAATGATATATATATATATATATATATATATATATCAGTGATCTTACTCAATATGACGGGTATTTGAAAACAAACTCCAGGTTTTTCATAAGAGTCGGAATTCAAGAATGATGCATCTATAAAAGGTTTGAACGACTCAAAAATGCATGCCATGGCTGAAGAAAGCGTAACAATTCTAACCAGTAGGTAAGACATTTTGTGGAGTTTGATGGCTGACTTAATTGGTGAAGAAACGGTCCCCTTTTGTCGAAACATCAAACAGCCACCCTCAAAAATATGATGAAAATATCCTTGGATTTCGTAAGGGCTTTTGATAGGTAAACAATTTTTATGTTATCAATTTTTGTTGCTTGCAAGAAACAGAGACAAACGGTTTATGTGAGAAAATATTTTACAAAATTGAAGAACACCCTTTATAGTCGATCTTAAAAAGCGTTTCCATGGCGACAAAGATAATCGACGACAATTCCATAGTTAAACAGATAACGAGGATTAGGAACAGATAGAAATAATCATTTCTTGCTGGTCGAGTTGGAACATGCCCCCCTGCTAAACAGCGGTTTCCTAGCAACGGGATAGCGGTGCGTCATTTTGTCGGGGGCGGCTGCGGAGGGTCCGTCATGATCTCTGATTCTAAATAAGCGTAACTAAAACTTTAAAGATCTAGAAAGGCCGACAAGAAAAAAAAATCTCTGGGAATGAATTTGGTTATCATCTCTTCCGTCTTTCATTCTCTTACCCATTGTTCTTCTATCTCTTCCGTTCTTTGAAGTCTCTTTTTTTTCCCTTTCCTTCATCTTATTTTATCCTTCTCCTTCCTTGTTTCCTCTTTCTCTATTTCCCCCTTTTCATTTTATTTCATATTTTCTTCTCATTTTTTATTTTCTTCTTTTATCTGCACCCATTTTTTCTCCCTAATTTATTCTTTCTTTCTCGCTTTATTTTACTTTTAATTCCTTCTCCGTCACCCTCTTTGATTTTTCCTTAATTCCCTACCTCGTTTCCTATTTATCATTTCCTTCCCATAATCCTTATTTTCATTTTTTTCTTTTACTCACCATATTATCTTTTCTTCTCCTTCATTCCTCCATTCATTTATTTTTCACTTTTTTTTCTCTCCTTTTTTCTTTCCTCTTTGCTCCAACTTTGCTATATTTCTTTATTCATCGATTTTCTCATTTTTAAGGTTTTCATCGCAAAAGAACGAATACCTTGTTCAGTTGGTACTGTCCTCGATAGTCAACCTCTCTCCATTGAGTCATGGTCAACTCTTGACGTCTGAAAAGTGAATTCGATCAGCTTTCTACGATAGGCAAATGCAAGGTTACCAAAGCCGGTTCAATTTCAATTTATCGCTAATTCAAAATTCAAAAGATATTAACATTTTGTCAGTTAATCTCATTATTGTAATTAAGCGATTAAATTAAAACAAAGTTGATGTAATTTTATTTTATTTCTAACTCAAAATACAAAGGTGCAAATTTTGTACTACTTTTTAACATCGGCTCACCTCGGAAAAACTACGATTTTGCCGAATGCTTACATAGTATATGTTCCTCTTCTTACAGTGCTGCACCGTTCTTTAAAAAAGAAAAGGCTTTATATGTTCAAATATAAGTGCTTCTTTACAAAACTCTATAGATTTTCACATGCATCTCAAAATTGAAGAATAAACAGTGGCAAATATACATTTTATCTTCAGGTTTGATTTTCACGGAAATAAAATAAAGTGAACATTTCATAGTAAAAAGTTCCTAGACGTTACACCTGCAAAGTAGTTATTAAACTTCAAAGATACTAATAAATAGGTACCTCCAAAAAAAAAATGCATTTTAAAATTGAAAAATCTTGCTTGAGACTTTTATTGTAGTTTTAATTACGAGCCAATTGATTTAATTTAATATTTCCAACAGGCAAAAGACATTGCTGGATTTCAAACAGAATTGAAGTTGATTCGTATGATGTTTTCTGATAATCAGTAAAATCTATAAAATCGGCCATATTGACAAATATGTCAATACAACATAATTATTTTTATTAAAAAAAAATATCAAAAATAAAATATACTTTTCTGGGAGGTTATTTGTGAGAAATTACCTGATTTAAATTTTAATTAATCCCAACTGAAAAAAAAATATTTACTTTTAGTTTAGGTCATTTTATGAGGTGTTTAATTTAGTTGATTTTAAATTACGTGACAAATGCATCATAAAAGTGTGTATATATATATATATATATATATATATATATATATATATATATATATATATATATACTATCTAGTAATCTTAAAAATTTCAATCATTCTAATATTTTACTTAATTTTTGGTACTTGAGCTTTATAAACTTACGCTCGTTGAAGAAATATTGGAAAATTACCAATAATTTTATATTCAATCTACCGCTAAGATTTTCTATTAATGCTGTGTATAAATGTCCGTATTTATAAAAATCGGCACATTTATGCACACACAAAAAATTTCTAAATTCTTTTTTAAAATAATGTACTGGCAGTCGTTGAATTGTTGTATATCTAGAAAATATAGTTTTTATTTAATAACAATATCACTTGAGCGATACAAATTTAAAACTTTATAAATTATTCTAATTAAAAATTTTAAAAAACTGAAAAGAATTCTTGTAAAACTTCATTATTCATCGATAAATATTTTTTCGTGTGACAATAGTGTCTATAATATATTTTATCCAAAAAAGCAATTAATAGCTTTTCTAATTCAATAATGTCTTAGTTTTATTGCATTTTTTGATTTTTTGACAAATAAAATTGATGATTTACATTCTCCAAGGACTTGTCCTTATAACTAATATAAACATTATGCGCTACGAAAAAGAATTTCTCGAAATTTCATTAAATTAAATAACTTGTGTGTAACAGATTCATAAAACAATACTTTTTATCAAGATTATCTAAAAATAAAACTTTTAAAAGTGTCATTGAAATCCGACAATTGTCTGATTTTCACAAGAATTTCTAAATCAATGTGTTTTTCATAGCAAAATCACCGGACAAGTTACTTATTTATGGTCTCCAGAGAAACAAGATTTTTAACCAAAATTTCGAAGGTTCTAAAACCGATTTTAAAAAATACATTTTACATCGAAAATATTTTTACATTAAAATCTATTTTTTATTAAATTTTGATATTTTTTTCAACTTCCGTATATATATATATATATATATATATATATATATATATATATATATATATGAGTTTAACAAGTAACTAATAAAATTCAACTGGTTTTCACGAATTACATCTTGCATATTTTGCACACACACACACACACACACACACATATATATATATATATATATATATATATATATATATATATATAGTTCATTGTAGGTTTCAGGAGGTCATTCCCTGCCATGTTCTTCTACGTTGTTTTAGGAGGGCGTACGCATTCTGATTCACAGTGACAAGACTCCATGCGTCGGTCAACAAATGAGGATATATCTTTCACTACACTTGCAGAACGAGGTAGAAAAATCATCGCGCTGTGGTAGGCTCACCTAAACTTAGGCATATCCAGAGAAATTCTAGTACAAGGTCACGACAGGCAACTTACGACTTAATATAATTTTGCCTGCGAGATAAGCTTATTAACCCTCGCGATACAGTTGACTTTAGATGCGCGCTCACACAAACGAATACTCCCTCTGTCTCATATATACACTCTCTCAACTTCCCTCCTTCTCGCTCTCTCTCCCTATGCAATTTTTTTCTCACCGGTAACTCAACTCTGAGTTTCATGCATAACGCAATCGTCAGATGCTGATTGAAAATTGACCGTAGCATAATTTAAGTATTTAAATATATATATATATATATATATATATATATATATATATATATATACAGACACAGACACACACACACACGCACACACACACACACACACACACACACACACATATATATATATATATATATATATATATGTTATTGTTATGTGTGTGTGTCTATGTATAACGTATTATAATTATAGTGGAGCATTTCATTTCGGGGTAATAATAATAATAATAATAATTCGCAAGCACACATAATAAAAATATGTGTTAAACCAAAATGCAGATTCTGTAAGAAATATCCTGAAACAATTGACGTTTTTATATAAGGCGCATGGTGTTAGCAATCACTGAATATAAAGCTCAACATGATCAAATGGGCCAATATCTGAACCGGAAAATATTCAACTTTTATATGAAGGAAACTACCAGGAACTGTTATGACCCTGTTACGCAGATAGGACCTCTAACAATTTTATGGGATTTTGCAATACACACAGTCAAAGCAAGCAAATCTAATCGCACAGACATCGTGATCAAAGACCACAAGAATAAAATGTGTTTTCTTATTGACATTAGCAGTCGCTGCAGATTATAAAGATATTCCAAAATCTATCAAAATACAAGGATCTTGAAATAGAAATCTAAAAAATGTGGCACATGAGGACATTAATAATTTCAGCTGGATTTGGAGCCCGCAGTTTGATTCGAAAAGATTTCCATAGACTCATTGAAGTCATTCCTAGTAGCCCTAGCCTGGAAGAAATACATAAAATTTATTTTCACAAGTATAGCCCACACCTTACGATGGGCATTATCTATGTGTGGGTTTCTCAAAAAATGCTCAGTGCAAAATGCCATGATGCCATCTCTGACCTTAGATCTATTGTTGGGATTTGGAAAGAAATGAGTATACACTAGAAACCAAAAGGAATAATAATAATAATAATAATAATAATAATAATAATAATAATAAATAAATGCAAATGTGTAAATATGTCTTTCTATATGCGTATATATGCATATATATTACTTTTATATTATGTTATATATATATATATATATATCAGTGTGTGTGTGTGTGTGCGTGTGTTTTTGCTTATTATCTATTTGCTTTATTTTATTTTTTTTAGATAAAGTGAACTGCTCCACTATTGTTATACTACAGTATAAATATCGATATTTACCGTCAAAGCTTTCCATTGTAGTGTCAAAGATCCTTTCTTTCTTGCTTTTATTGTCGAATAAAGAAAGAAGGGATCTTTGACACTACAATGGGAAGCTTTGACGGTGTAGAGATCTGCGAAATCATAGGTATATATTTACTACACGAACTAAGCAAAATAATAGAAATGATACAGGACTCTACAGGGACGACGGTCTCATAATCTTAGAAACTATATCAAACAAAACGCAGACAAAACTAGAAAAGCAATAATAAAGATTTTCAAAAATAAACGATTCAGCAACACTCACATACTCACCACAGAGCACAAAAAAGACAACAGGAAGAAAAATATCATATGGTTCATCACACCGTACAGCAGAAACTTAAAAACAAACGTAGGAAAAATAAACACTTCCCGGAATCAAGCACTATGCACAAAATAATCAACAAAAACACAGTAAAAATCAACTACAGTTGCACCGAGAACACGGCACAAATAATAAAAAAGCAGAATAGGAAAACTATCAACAAACAACCCGAACAAATTAAACTCACGTGTAAATGCAGAATAAAGAATGAATATCCCTTAAACGGAATTGCTTACAAAACAACGTAATATACGAAGCCACGGTAAAATTACCAAATAATGAAAAATATACATAGTAGTAACTGTAGGACCCTGGAAACAAAGAAATTATACACACAAAACATATTTCACAAATAGTAAATACGTGAACAGCACAATGCTTTCTAAGTATATCTGGGAAATTAAAAATAAAACGCAAACCTCACCAAAAATATCATAAAAAATAAGCCTACAACAATCAATCCCAAAACTGCAAAATTTGCTTGGAGGAAAAAATACCTTCACAGACCAAAACAAACTACTAAATAAACGATCTGAACTCATCTCAAAATGCAGACAAGAAAACAAAATTTTACTACGTTATTTAAAAATCGAAAACTGAAAAGAATAAATAAAAATAAATAAAATAAAATAATATAT